ATTTCAGTTCTTCCCCCTGAAATCTGACCTTAAAATTAAAACCAAAACCAAACAAAACCCAGTAAAACCACTCAGCAAAGCTAACATAAAAGGAATGAGGAAAGGAAGAGGAAGCCAAGAACAGCTCATGGGATATAGCCCTAGCTAGGAGGAGACTGCTTCCAGCCAGAACACGGCAGATAGAAGCAAAACTTATACCCATCAAAAGCCTGTTGAGGGGTCAGCCCAGAGGAATGAAGCTTTAGACCAGCCTCAGTGCACAGACTCCCACATGCTGTTTGCACCCCGTCACGGCAAACTGCGCATACATCGCTTGATGCCTCTGTGCCTCGTCCTACCTGACAGACCAACTGATACAACAGCTACTCAGGCTGCGCTCACGAAACCTGTTACAACCCTTGGAAAACAAACGTGTTGTCTAGAATGCAAATTACTCCTCTAGACATTTCCCCCACCAGAAAGAAGCAAGATCAACAGGACGCTCGGTGCAAACCAACGCTGCAATGAAGAGCTGCAGCGCTGCTAAAGGTGCTGGGAGTCTTTGTGGGTGTCTGCTCCAACACAGGGCATTTCACCCCACTGAAGGCAAATGCAATCCCATTCACCTTCGTGTTATGAAACACTATTTAGACACTACAAAGGCCTGATCAGAAAACTTCCAGATTTAACACTAGGTTCATTGTCAAAGTACTTTCTGAAATCACTGGGGCCAACCACTGCCACTTCTGTAAGAGCCAGAAATAGCAGTCAGACAGATGGCTGGAGCACAGCTTTGTTGCACATTCAGAGCAGGGAGCTGAACCGTGTCTCCTACACCCGGGGCAAATACTTTTGCTCTTGCTCACTCTTAATTTTGGCAAGAAGTGACAGCGAGCTGTTTCTTGCCAACTACTTTTCCCATTGGTCACAACACCGAAGGGGCCAAAAGCTAAGACTGGCAGCACAAAAGCTGCCACCACGTTCTCCAGTCTGCAAGCGCTTGACTTCGTAGCCTCAGCCATCTCCAGCCAAGTTGGTTTTTTTTATTGCTGTTCAGAGTATGCTCTAGCTTGCACACTTGAGCTGCTGATTGCTTCCCCTAATGCAGCAGTCAGTCAAATACCGTTTGAAGGGCACTCTGCTGAGGAGTAACGCAGGACTGGTCCTACAGGGTGTGCCAGATACAAATGCACTCAGCATTGAGCCAGCAAGCCAAAAGCAGAAATAGGTAATGACAAAAGAGAGGACCTTTGATCAACTGATATTGACCCAAGTTGGCAATGGCAGAGGCCTGGATGGACCTGACTGGGTCTCAGCGTTGCTTGAAGAAGCTTCAGAGTAGCTGCTGATGTCACTGCTCTGTAAGTTTGGTCAGGACACCTGAAAATGAAGGCTGAGAGACATTTTGACAGCAGGAGGTGTGAATGCAGGGTTGCCAGGGGCACTGGAGAAGTTTGTAATCACATGCTGTCTCCATTCCGGGGATGAGCTTGCTGGGCTGACCCCTATGGAGACCAGAAGTCTTTGTTTAGTTTCCAACAAGCACACTGCAGGCAGCATCACCGCAGAGGATCCTGCCAGTTTGCCTTAGCCACGTGGAGGAGCGCGGTAAAAAAGCCTTTCCGTGGTAAGACGCGATTATGAAGGCAGCAGGCAAGTCAAATATGCTGCTGCTCCACCTGGGACCCCTCAAACCACGTCTGACACAAGCCAAAGAGCTGTCAAATGACAGCTGCCTGCAGTGCCAGTAACCTGGGCTTCCTGCCTGGAGCAACCAGTTATCTGTGAAGTTCGCAATGCCCTAGAGACACTTAGTCCCTGCTATTTTGCAGGGCAGATCAGGTCAGAGCTCAGGAGCAACCTTGTAGAAGTCAAAAACCCACCACCCCCCACACCTCTCGTTCAAGTTCATCATCCAGTTCAGGGGAAGAATCCGTTGTCAACAGCATCTAACCGCAACGAGCTAATTGCTTCTGGGCTTATCCTGTAATCCAAGGGAGCGCTTGACAGAAGGTTGTTAATTACAACAGAAAACCAGAATTCAGACTGCGACGTGCCTTTTAAAGTGTATTTACAAAGCTGCTTGTGCCTTGGCTCAGTGCAAGAGCCTCAGACAGATGCTGTAGAGACATAAAGTTCTCACATTTCTCCCAGCATACCCAGCTTTCTCCCTTCTCCCAAGCCATCTGGGAGCTCCCAGCTTCAGCTGGGTGAGCAGAATTCTGTGAGGCCAGGACTTCCAGGGTGCTGAAGAGGCTCACACCATCTCCATGGCATGAGCCCAACACCCTATCAACAAAACTGGTTTGTTTTTTTTTCACCTGCAGAAAAAAAGCTTTTCTGCCTCTCTAATCTTAAGCCAGCACCCCTTGCATGCCTGCCCTGGCCTCCAAAACCATCGCACCAACAGTTATTACTGAACATTAACTTTTTTCACATCGCTCTTTCCGAATTTTTCCCTAGGTTTCCCTCTCTAAGGCTTCACAAGGAGATGCCGAAACAGGCCTTTTTGCCAGTGTGGTTGAATATCTATCTGTAGTCCCAGCAAGCTAGGCAAGGCACCTCTACATTACTATTTCTTGGTTTATATAAAACTAATTGCAGAGAGACACTTCATCATTTAGGGAGGGAGTAGGAGACATGGGTAAGTGACAGGAGGCATTCCAGGGTTGGGAATATGCTGGTTCATGCTCACTTGAACCACAGGGACTTGTGCAGCATACCTCTATTTTCAGCTACTGAGACAGATTCCAGGCTGGGGAATATTACTTGTACAGAATTCATCCATAGCACCAGCACCAGCACCTACCAGCACTGTTGTAGGCAACTCACCATAGTGGAACACAGTTGATAACAAGGTCATTATTTAGAGAATATTTGCTAGTGCACCCAAGCCCCAGTGAAAGATTGTCCCACTTGGTCACAGACACCCTCTTGTTGATTACCTGGGCATTAAGGAGCTGAGAGTGAACTTCCTGGTGGGCCTTCCGAAGCAGCTTGCTCTCTTCTCTGAGTTTAAAGACTGTATCTGCAAGAGAAGAAGAAATTTGCTTGAGAGCGCTCTTTTCACCAGTGTAGTATCTCTCTTCCTTACCATAAATTCCTCTTGACCTCATAGATCTCTCCAAGCCCGGGAATTACGATGAAGCACTAGCCAGGGACTAGCCAAACACACTGACAAACCCAAATCATCATTCCTTTCTGCACTCAGGAGTCCTGCCCATCCAAGGAACTTCCTCCTCTCCGGAGCACCCCTGCTAACTACTGCTCTCGGGGTCAGGCTCTTGCTGTGCTTGCTCTCAGAGCAAGATACTTGTTTCATGTCCCTTATCCACTGCAGCTAAATAGCAGGGAGAGCAGCAAGCAGTGATCCCTGCCCCTACCTGTGGTACCTGGAAGGTTGAGAAACAACTGCAAGAAAGGTCTGTCAGTCTCCTGAACCCAGAGCAGACCCGATAAGGAGGTTCCCTCTTGCTGCACAGAGCAGCAGTAGGATGAAATGGAAGGATGGTACAAACAAAAAACCCCACAACCCACTTACAGAAAGCCATCACAGGACAGCTTGGTCCTCGGGCACATTTATTCCAATGCTGTTAAGTAGCGAGCTTGTGCCTTGCAGCCCCCAGGCCAGGCTCCTTCCAAGCTCTTTGCACACTCCTAAGTGCTTCAGTGACCAGACACACAACGCACTTACATTTCACTGCCTTGAATATACTTGTGTATCCTCCGATAAGAAGGCAGACTGTGTCAGAAACTGTCAGTCTCCTTTTGGCTCCTGAAGCTCTCTGAAAATATCACCAGGACTGCATGGACCAGGATTTCTCTGCAAAACACTTGCACCTGCCAGGACAAGGATGGGGATGTTTCCCCCAACAGGATGGTCACTTTGCTGTGGGCTGAATCCGTACAAGATTTCAGCTAAAGATTAGAGATGTTCTCCATTACAGCAGTTTGGGGTTTTTTTTATTGTTTTATAACATTCATCCCTGGGACAGGCCACTTTGCCGTTGAGGCTGGGTGCTGTGCTCCTGCCTTGCGGTGAAGGTGAACGTCAAACTGAGGAAAGGCAGCTTCGTCTTTCCTGCAGCCAGAAGGAAATTTGGGATTGGGAGTACAGCTAGAACAGCTTTAACAGAGTTATCCTGTGTACACAGAGTGCTGGAAGCACACACAGCTGTGGGTGTTGGCCTGGAGCAGCAAGTAGGGGATATGTGTCTAGGCAGCTAGTCCAGGTGAGATGGCAGCTAGCACAAGACTGCTACTGCTAAGACTCCTGACTACAATACAGACATGTCCCCAGGTCTTCAAGAGAACCAAAGACACCTCAAGTGTGGGAGAGATGTCCAAAAGAATCCTCAGTAATGGTCTTCAGAGCATATTCAGAGACTGGAAATCAAAGCCTTCATGCCATTGTATGTCCTCTCTCTACCACCAGCATGGGAGACACGAAATCCTGGTCCCAATGACCTCACCAGGAGTTTTACCACTGATGTCAATGAGAAGGAAGTGTCAGCTGTAATTACAGGCTCCTTATCTCCAACAGAAGCTCAAATATCAAAACAATCCCTCTGCCTTCAGAGCAGACTGTGCCAATGTGTGATGAGAAAAAAAAAACCCACAGAGTACAGAATCAGTGGACAGGTTGTGCTGGGGTGTGAAATGCAGCATAAATAGACTGCAGTTCCTGTAAATCAGAGGAGAAAATAGTTCATAATGCAGCAGGAGAGGGCTGGGAGTAAAGGGAGGAGGGAAACAAGATTAAACAGGCTCCAGTTCACAAGACCAGGAAGCTTCAGCTATTGGAACATCTACTCATCTCCCATTAATCAGCATCCAAAGCCACTTGGAGAAGCAGGGATTTTCAGGAACAGGGCACAGATACCCTAACAGCACCACAGCCACTGGATCACGACACAGCTCTATCATCCCCAGATCCCAGCATCTTCTGCATGTAGATAGCTGTGTCACCAACCCGAGAGCTGCCCCAAAGCTGTAAAGCAACTAGGACAACCAAGAGGAGCTACAGAACCCAGCTCCATCTGTGAACGCGTTCCCTTGTATTTCCCAGTGGGCTTCTGCTTTCCCCCAGCATCCCCGGGGTGAGAGAGTCATTTCTGCAATCGAATCTAGCAAAAACCCCTCAATTTAATTTTAACAGCCCTGAGCAGTGCCCACTGCTCAGACACCTCTTCTGCTCTCTGTGACACTCGCTGACAGAGGCACAACTTCCAACACACGTCTCCTGAGGCCACATTATACGTGGAAAGTACTGATGGAACATAAGGAAAGGAATGAGCAATGTCCCCGGACAAGTGGCCCCTGAGCTTGGTTCTTCAGTCCTTCCTCTGCCTGGTGGTTTCTCAGCTCTCCATCCCACTCACCCTGCAAGTTTGTGACTTCACTGTCCTTCTCCTGCTGCAGCTGGGCATATTTCTGGCTATGGGACTCCAGTGTCTTACGATGTTCCAGTTTCAAGCTGTTGTGCTGCAGCTGCAGGTCAAGCAGCTGCTTCTTGACATCTTCATGCTGGTTCTGAATATGAAGAGAAGTGACAAAGAGTCAGTACAAGAAGGAGACGAGTAATTTAGCTATTGCCAAGTGCTACTCGAGCGCCTCTGTTCAATCATTTGCTTGGGGACGCAGAAGAGATGTTTATTCCTCCAATGAGGAAGCTGGAAATCCCAGATACAGTAAAATATTCTTTGTGTTCAGTGGTTCAGGAGGGATGCGAAACGCCAATTAACCTCTGCTTTGTGAAGCAGTTTGGGAGGTCCCCTTGAAAGCCACTGAACTGGAACCAGAATGTGGTGGCAAGACCACTCCTGCCTGAAAAAGAGACGGCGACTCTGGGACACAGCCAAGAGCTACTCCTACTCCTTCCCAGCCTCCCTGCACACCCTGCCCTGCGAGAGCAACGCAGGCTGTAGTATTTGCTGGTATCAGGCCAAATGCCTGTGGAACACTGTACAAATCCAAGGTCCCTTCCAGAGTCCCAGATGTGCTGGAGGACAACATTACCTGCCAGGAGAGCTTCCGTGGTGCCCGTGGCATCAGCCTGCACACTGCACTGCTGGAGCAGTTCGCCCTGAAGCAGGGCGAAGGTCTGATTCCTGCTGTGCACAGGTACTCCTAGTCCCTTCGGTCACACGGACACCTAAACACTCAGGTTGTTCTCTCTGCTTTGTTTGCTTCCCGATAGCCTGGCTGTTCCCCCACCCACCTCTCCAAGCTGCTGGAACAGGAGGGAGACCTTCTACATCCAGAGAAAGATGAGAGCACCCACTTTCCCCACAATAACATGGGGCTCACAAGCATGAAATGCCAGGACAGCAAGGCTCTCACAGGACCACAGACTCTTTCAAGCAGGCCAAGAATTCACCAGAGAGGAGCAGGTTGAAGAGCTGTTCTCTTCCCCCCCTCCCCTCTTGCAGAGCCCAAGAACAAAACATGCTGAGCCATCCTTTTGGTCAGACCCACTGAACCAGAATTCACCTCCTTTTTTGTTCCCATAGTAACCTAGAGAGTCCTTCCACATTCACTTTGTCAACCCCAATTATGTATGCAGATTGACTGGCTCACAGGTGAACCCTGGCCCTTCCACACAATAGCTCCTCAGGACTCAGGCAGCAATTTCAATCAGCCTTCCTGTAAAAAACCCAATCTTCCTTTTAAAAAAACCCAAACCTCTAAATGCTATCGATGATTGCATTTAGCCCCAGTAAAACAAAGCATCTCTGGCCCAGGCATTCTCCCCTGAAGCAATTATCCCCCACTGAAAGGAGAGGAAAAAAACCCTGTGCTCCAAAAATACATGCAACGCGGAGGAAAAAGCTATCGGTATGGAGGGGTCCCAGAGACAGAACAAAGAAGAGCGACAAGGACGTCAGCTTAATCATATCACAAGATCAGGAGGGAAAATAAAGAGAATAAAAAGACTCCTGCTCTGGCTTTCAGAGACATTAGGTACTTACAGTTCTCATCAGAGCCACCGGCAGAAAGCACTGCAGAGGAACCACATCCCTAAAATCATTTTGATACTAAACACCTCAGAAGCCAGCAACATTAGCAAGTGAGAATCAATTCTAACAAGAAACTCTAAGTAATTCAAGGAATTTTAAGTCCTCATCAGCTCAGGTCAATTAACTTCTAACCCATATTCCATCTGGCAGATGATGTGCATAATGTCTGTCCTCAGACTGCTCACAGCCAGGAAGAAGGGAGGGAATATTCATCCTTTGATAGCAGCAGGAAGCTGAAAAGGGAGATAAGTGCCTTGACCAAGGTCACACAGAGCACCTGAGGCCCAGTCCAGCTCATTAAGCACACAGAGCATCCTCACTCTCAGCTGGTTTCTCAGGATGGCTGTGACCAATGTAGATAAACTTCAGGAGGAATCTCAAGGCACTGTTTTGTTGTCCTTGCAGGACAGGAGGTCTGGAACATGCCATGTGTGATAGTTTTTCAGTGAAGCAACTTAACTGTAACCACAGCATTCCTGACCCAGTCAGTGCTGCCAAAGCTAGGTGTGCCGACAGCCCCGAGGAAGCCAGGAACCCCTCAGGCCCAGAGCTGCCCATCTGACTGTACCATCATTCCCTCCTCTGCCTCAGATACACTGTTTTACTCAGTCAAGCAGAAACTGCAAAACACAGCACAGGAGTGTCGTGCCCATCACGTACAAACGCAGCTGGGGGTGAGGGAAGAGAGACCACGCCGTCCTGACGTGTCACTCTGTGACCCTACCCACCGTGCCCAACCCTGCAATACAGGGAAAGCGTATCCTTCAGGCAGTCAGCTAAGCTTTCAAAAACCAGGAGTCCTTCAGCTCTGCTGTGTGAATTCAGGCCAGCGAGTCCTCTCATCCCACCTTCCCTTCGCTCCTCAGACGACATGTAGTGCTCAAGATGCATCAGCTACGAGCAGAGGAGCTGCCACCGCATCAGCGATGAGCACGGTAGCTCTATCTCACTGAGGTCTCTGGGGAAATGAGCAGGCAAAGAGAAGAAAATCAGAGTACCTCAAAACCAGGTATTTCTGCCATGATTTAGAAAGCAGCTTTGGAGACAGCATTGTGCAGGACAGTCAGTAACTGGACGCTTAGCCCACAAGCAGAGGAAGGGCACACTTCACCGCAACTTTCCAGCAGTTTCAGGAAGTCCATGTCAAAAACCTTTTGTTTAAAGCCACCCACCTCCTTGCCTGCCTGCTCCAGTGAACGCCAAGATGCGTTCTGCAGAATGCACAACAAAAAATTTTAATCTCCCCTCAAGAGGATGAAAGGAACTGAAGACAAAGTCTGGCCCCGGCAGGAATCCAGACACGGGCAACTACTGCAGCTGCTATTTTTGGACAAAGTCAAGACAGACTTGGACACAGATGACTCCAACACAGGTCAGAATGACAGCAGCCGTCAGAAACACCAAAGCCAGATACACTGATGTGGCTTCATGGAAGTCTTTGGTGATCTTTGGGACCTTCAGCTTAGAGTTAATTGCTTCTCATCATCATTACACACCTACTTCCCAGGTGACGGTATCGCTGGCAGCAATCATCCTCCTGAGGAAGCTAGTACCAGTGGGAAGCCTTTTTTGCCTGTGCTCCAGTAACAGAAGTGTTACTCACAGTCTCTAACCAGCTAGAAGCCGAGCTGAATACTGCTTTTTTCAGGATGGGGGAGCTGAAATCTACCACGCTGCAGTCCCAAGGGCTGGTCTGTCTTTCAGCAGCTATAAATGTGGTTAAAAAAATAGATTATTCCCC